TAATATTTTTTATTAATTTATTGGGGACTCGTTTGCAATTTTTAAAAAATTTGGAACTATAGTTGCAATTAATTGTTTAGCCGTTTTATATAAGAACATGTCTGGACGCCATTTTTGGAAGAAAGAAAGCAATATTTTGCCCGTTACAGCCCACCGTTTTTGACCCACTGTTTCACGAGTGGGACCCACTGACCAACAGCAACGGAAATATTTTTGATTTTAATTCAAAAAGAAGCTGCAATAGACATGCTCTAAATAAGAGTTTATATTTGTCATTTAGATGAATATTATTAATGCATGAATAGGAACTTATTATAAACTAAAAACTAAAATGAATAATATATCTTTAGATGGAGAAATAGCTCTTGTTGAGTAGATAAAAGAGTAATGTAATTATGGTTGTGAAATTCAAGGAAATAATGTTGAAAAAGTTCTAAATTCATCTTCGAATTTATTATATAAATCATTTATTGAAGCTTTTCCTATATTTATTATCTCATCTTCGATAGACATTGGAAGCAGGCATAATGAAAATTAAAGTATAATAAATGCATTTATCTCTATATATTAATTAATTTGGAAATTAACTTATTTTACTTGTATTTACTCGACCTTTGATCCTTGATATTTTTTTTATTTTTCTGGTCAATGCTCAGTTCGATTTTGAAAACATTGGTTTTTAACAAATTTATAGCTTGTTAACTAAGAATATGATAAAATTGTCTATTAGGGGCTTAAATGCTACCAAAATGAAATGTTAGAGACATAAATGCTCATTGATTGGAGATCAAAGTGCAATAAGCATCAAGGGTTGCGGATTTTCTCAAGATTTATGTGTCCAAATCTAAAATTCGGAGATCAAATTACTACAAGCACTAAAATTTAGGTACTAATATTGCAATTTTTTTTTGATTTTAAAGGCCGGTTCAAACTGGCCCACTACTTATTCTAACCAAAATGGACCTTCTCAGCCCTTGTTTGGGCTCCATTAAAATGTGTTTTCTGGAAAAAAAAAATATATTTTAGAATAATGATTTTTTGAAAAATGTATAGTTAAAAATGAAGGAATTTTTTTGAATTTATTTGAAAATATGTGATTAAAAATAAGATTGAAAAAAAATGCATTTTGGATAAATTGAAGCCCAAATAGGGGCTCAGTTGGAAGGCTGAATACAAGTATCCATATCAATTTTGACAAGTGGTTTATCTGTACAAGAAAATGGAAAATGGAATCTTCATATCTTCATAATATATTGGCAATGCGTGATTGATTGTTTTAACTATATTTTTTTTTCCAAAATCCAATGAAATTTTACCATGTGACATTTTGTAAAAATCCATGCACATAGCTTTTTCATTTATATCCACTATTGTTATATATCTTTCTCAATTCGTATTTATCCTTATTGAGCACTGCTTGACAACCATTAAAATTGGAAAATGAGTTTTTGAATGGTAATTTTTTGAAGAATATATGGTTAAAAAGTAAAAAATATTTTTTGTTTATTTGTAGAATAATTTCCTGCGAATATGTGCGGTTGAAGATAAGTTTTGTTTTAATGATTGTCAAATAGAGACTAAATTTTTTTAAAAAATACTATTTTCATCAACTTCGGATTCCAATATTGCTCTCGTTTGATCCTCAGCCTCCGTTTGGCCCCCATTATTTGAAATTATAATTTTTTAAATTGTGTTTTTTTTTTATAATGTGTGGTTGAAAAAGAAGAAAAATGTTCGATTTGCTTATAATATTATTTTATTGAAGATTGTGTGGTTAAAAATAAAACAGATAATAATAAATTTTTGAGATAATGGGAACCAATCGGAACTCAATATTTTCAATATACATTTTTCTCTTTCTTTTCAACTGTGCATTCGTGAACAAAATAATATTACACTCAAATTCAAAACTTTTCATTATTGTTCAACCACACATTTTTCATCGATCTATTATTCCAAAATGCATTTTTAAGAAAAAAATGGGGCTAAAAATGCTCATTGTCTTTATTAAAAAAATTCATTTGAATACCATAAAACCACATCATTTTTATATATTCTCGTCATATTTTTGGAAGTAAATAAATTAAATTAATAAGGGCCTATTTGATTTGTATTCCATTTTCAATTTTGAGTTCATCTTCAGTAATCTATTTTGAGAGTCTATTTTAAAATTTTTAAAAAATGCATTTTGGTTTGTCATTTTGAAATATTAATTGTCAAAATAGAAGACTAAAAAAAGATGTTTTGTTTGAAATTTTGAAAAATTATTGTACGACATTTTATTCAATTAAAAAATTTAATTATTGGGTAAAAATAAAACAAATAATATATCATCAAGTAATGTATACATTATGAAGTTGGTGAATCTTACCAAATAATTCACTAAAAAGGTAAAATAAAAATAAATAATAAATTGAGTTCAAAATACACGAAATAAAAATAAAAATTAATGAAGTTAATTGAAAATTATTTATCTATGTTTGTTTAAATAATGTTTTTAGAATTTTTAGGAAAATAATATAGTTTCAAATATTTTTGCTTTCTAGAAATTTTTAGAATTTATTTTTTTAGAATTCATCAATTTTATTTTTTGAATATATTTTTCTTGAATTTTATTTGTTAGAATCATGTATTGTTATTTTTTAAAATTTTATTGAAATGAAGTTTTATTTAGACTATTTTTTTGAGTGTTTTCACAAATCTCAATAAAAAACACTCAAACCGTCAAAAATATGTTTTAAGTTTTATATTATAAGTTTATCATTGTTTTTCGAAAATGCATTTTTCAATGTTTTGCAAAACATAAATTGAAAATGGTAAACCAACCGCACCCTAAGTTATTATAAATTGTAGGTTCTATAGAACTTGTAAATAAGAAGAGAATAGTAGTTGTGAATCATAAAAAAAATTGTGGATAGAAAATATATTTTATAAGCTTAGGTTATAATCTAATCACTCCCTAATCATGATTCCCTCACAACCAATTAGTGTTTTATTAACAACCCAAAATAGAATCACATCGATCACCGTCGCAATATAACAATTCACACATAAGATTTTAGGATGATCTAAATCTAATATTCAATTTCATATTTGTCACTGAGAAATAATTCATCGACATTGAGAGAGTCACCCACGTGAAATCTCTATAGTATATCGAGTGAACTTGTTCATCTACACACAAATCCATATATTCACTTGATTATCCCCACACTCTAATTCGTAAGATTAATACTCTTTTCAATTCCTAGTGATTAAACATATAACTCACACTACATTGGTATATTAATCACAATTCCTCGCAATTAATGTATCGCTCACATTTATTTTTCAGATACCATTGAACATAATCATTTATCTATAGAAAACAATCTAATAGGGATGTTAATAAATAGAAATAATACCATGAGCAACGACAACATGTTTGTACTTCATTCGAGAACGACCTATAGATCTACGTGTAGATCTATAGAATCCAAGCAGCGATGGAGCCATGAATTTAGAGAAATTGAAACGAGATTCCTACACAAATTAAAATATTGATTTTATTCCCTATAAAAAATGGGCTAAATAAATTATGCGAGTAATCAGTCAAACGATACGATAAATTAAATCCCTATTGAGTAAAAGTGAATTATTAAAGCAAAATAAGAGTGCTATGATATGACAGGTGTCAACTCTTGATCATCACTTCCACAATTGAATCAATCAAGAGGGGTCTTAATACTATTTTGATTGGGAAAAAATTAACAAAAAGTAGGAATTATCACCGACCATTTATTTTGAATATCAGTCACCAAATTATTCTCTTCAAACTGTAAGATCATTAGTTCACGACTTTATATGTTAGGTAGCCCTACTTTTATTATTTCGCATGCTAAAACAATCCGACATTTCGATGCACGACTTGTTTTCGGAGACGATTTTCTTTCAGAAATCATCCATGCGCGCATAACATGCATTTACGACAAACCGCAAATATGCCAACACAACACAGTGCTTAACTCGGTATTAATCTTTTTGAGCCCGACGCAATTCAACACGTTATTAAGCATCTGTTTGGAAGAGAATTTTTCAAGCGAAAGCATTAATTTTTTTAGAATGCACGTAAAAAGTAGGGAAATATTATGATGTCCGTAAAATGTTTGATTGGGAATGATTTCAAGGAGGTATCTCCCAAACATACCCTAAATTGAGTTGATGGATGGATTTCAATTTGATATAATTACTGTTGACATACAAAAATGAGGCCCCATTAAATGGTCCAAAAAATGAAGTTCAGTTAGGAAATTTGAGGGAGAGGCCTAAATGAGACCAATATAAAATATAGTGAGACCTATAAATAGAGGACTATCATCCCCCAAGCCTGCAAGACGCCCAGAATCAGAGCGAATGAAATACCTTATTGTCGCTCAGAGCGACGTCTCATTT